CAGAAGACATTATAGGAGATATTACAGACAATTTAAAGGACAGTTGTACCTTTGTTTTAAATATCAGTATTGTAATAACATATACAGTCAGGTCCATAAATATTGGGACATCGACACAATTCTAACATTTTTGGCTCTATACACCACCACAATGGATTTAAAATGAAACAAACAAGATGTGCTTTAACTGCAGACCGTCAGCTTTAATTTGTGGGTATTTATATCCAAATCAGCTGAACGGTGTAGGAAATACAACAGTTTGCATATGTGCCTCCCACTTGTTAAGGGACCAAAAGTAATGGGACAGAATAATAATCATAAATAAAACTTTCACTTTTTAATACTTGGTTGCAAATCCTTTGCAGTCAATTAGAGCTTGAAGTCTAGAATGCATAGACATCACCAGACGCTGGGTTTCATCCCTGGTGATGCTCTGCCAGGCCTCTACTGCAACTGTCTTCAGTTCCTGCTTGTTCTTGGGGCATTTTCCCTTCAGTTTTGTCTTCAGCAAGTGAAATGCATGCTCAATCGGATTCAGGTCAGGTGATTGACTCGGCCATTGCATAACATTCCATTTTTTTCCCTTAAAAAACTCTTTGGTTGCTTTTGCCGTAGGCTTTGGGTCATTGTCCATCTGCACTGTGAAGCGGCGTCCAATGAGTTCTGAAGCATTTGGCTGAATATGAGCAGATAATATTACCCGAAACACTTCAGAATTCATCCTGCTGCTTTTGTCAGCAGTCACATCATCAATAAATACAAGAGAACCAGTTCCATTGGCAACCATACATGCCCACGCCATGACATTACCACCACCATGCTTCACTGATGAGGTGGTATGCTTAGGATCAGGAGCAGTTCCTTTCCTTCTCCATACTCTTCTCTTCCCATCACTCTGGTACAAGTTGATCTTGGTCTCATCTGTCCATAGGATGTTGTTCCAGAACTGTGAAGGCTTTTTTAGATGTCGTTTAGCAAACTCTATTCTGGCCTTCCTGTTTTTGAGGCTCACCAATGGTTTACATCTTGTGGTGAACCCTCTGTATTCACTCTGGTGAAGTCTTCTCTTGATTGTTGACTTTGACACACATACACCTACCTCCTGGAGAGTGTTCTTGATCTGGCCAACTGTTGTGAAGGGCGTTTTCTTCACCAGGGAAAGAATTCTTCGGTCATGCACCACAGTTGTTTTCTGTGGTCTTCCAGGTCTTTTGGTGTTGCTGAGCTCACCGATGCGTTCCTTCTTTTTAAGAATGTTCCAAACAGTTGTTTTGGCCACGCCTAATGTTTTTGCTATCTCTCTGATCGGTTTGTTTTGTTTTTTCAGGATAATGATGGCTTGCTTCACTGATAGTGACAGCTCTTTGGATCTCATCTTGAGAGTTGACAGCAACAGATTCCAAATGCAAATAGCACACTTGAAATGAACTCTGGATCTTTTATCTGCTCATTGTAATTGGGATAATGAGGGAATAACACACACCTGGCCATGGAGCAGCTGAGAAGCCAATTGTCCCATTACTTTTGGTCCCTTAACAAGTGGGAGGCACATATGCAAACTGTTGTAATTCCTACACCGTTCACCTGATTTGGATGTAAATACCCTCAAATTAAAGCTGGCAGTCTGCAGTTAAAGCACATCTTGTTTGTTTCATTTCAATCCATTGTGGTGGTGTATAGAGCCAAAAATGTTAGAATTGTGTTGATGTTCCAATATTTATGGACCTGACTGTAATTACATACGTAGTTGGTAAGGTTAAATGAAGGAACCTGTCAGGGCTCCCAGGTGTGACCAGAGATGTGTGACTGACGCAGGGAAACGCAGACCTCAGATATGTTATAAACAATATAATTTATTAACACTAAACAATACAAACATAAACGCAGTGCAATACTAAAACATAATACAGTGCAAACAAACCAAACCAAACCACCCACAGATAACAGTACATACAAGCAAGCGTCGTCAGGCAGGCCGGGTCAATATCGATAGGGCAGGTAGGTACAGGGGGAGCAAGCGGAGATTGGTCAGGGTCACAAGCCAGGGATCAGAACAGGTAGCAAGCAGCGTGGTACAGAGGGTCAGACAGAGGGATGGTCAGGAGCGAGCCGGGATCAGAGCAGGAGAAGTCAGCAGCGGTTCAGAAACAGGATGCAGGACAGAAACAGGATGCAGGACAGAAACAGGATGCAGGGCCCAGGACAAACACACACCAAAGCAGAGTCTGTGGGTCTGGCCATCCCTTAAATACCCCAGCATAATCAGTTACAGGTGTTAGCTGGCTGCAAAGTTGAGTCTCTGATTGCTGGGAACACCCGCTGGCCAGCCCTGGTACTGCAGATCAAAAGGCAGGTGAGTCCCACCATAGCTGGCCAGTCCATTCCTGACAGTACCCCCCCCCCTCAAGGAGCGGCCTCAGGACGCTCCAAACAGTCCTAGCTGGGAAAAATGTTCCACCGCCCGGGTCTGGTAACTGGCGGGATATCAAAGACTGGCACACCGGGCAGGACTCCGGGCAGCGGTACACCGGGCAGAGGCACATCGGGCTGGACTCCGGGCAGAGGCACATCGGGCTGGACTCCGGGCAGAGGCACACACCGGGCAGAGGCACACCGGGCAGAACTCCGGGCAGAGGCACATCGGGCAGAGGCACATCGGGCAGAGGCACATCGGGCCGGACTCCGGGCAGAGGCACATCGGGCCAGACTCCGGGCAGAGGCACATCGGGCCAGACTCCGGGCAGAGAGGCACATCGGGCCAGACTCCGGGCAGAGGCCGGGGGCCAGACTCCGGGCAGAGGCACATCGGGCCAGACTCCGGGCAGAGGCACATCGGGCCAGACTCCGGGCAGAGGCACATCGGGCCAGACTCCGGGCAGAGGCACATCGGGCCAGACTCCGGGCAGAGGCACATCGGGCCAGACTCCGGGCAGAGGCACATCGGGCCAGACTCCGGGCAGAGGCACATCGGGCCAGACTCCGGGCAGAGGCACATCGGGCCAGACTCCGGGCAGAGGCACATCGGGCCAGACTCCGGGCAGAGGCACATCGGGCCAGACTCCGGGCAGAGGCACATCGGGCCAGACTCCGGGCAGAGGCACATCGGGCCAGACTCCGGGCAGAGGCACATCGGGCCAGACTCCGGGCAGAGGCACATCGGGCCAGACTCCGGGCAGAGGCACATCGGGCCAGACTCCGGGCAGAGGCACATCGGGCCAGACTCCGGGCAGAGGCACATCGGGCCAGACTCCGGGCAGAGGCACATCGGGCCAGACTCCGGGCAGAGGCACATCGGGCCAGACTCCGGGCAGAGGCACATCGGGCCAGACTCCGGGCAGAGGCACATCGGGCCGACTCCGGGCAGAGGCACATCGGGCAGGACCCCGGCAGAGGCACATCGGGCTACCAGGCGAAGCAGCAGGCAGCGGGCCACCAGGCGGAGCGACAGGCACCGGGCCCCCGGGCGGGGCGACAGGCACCGGGCCCCCGGGCGGGGCGACAGGCCCTCGGGCCCCCGGGCGGGGCGACAGGCCTCGGGCCCCCAGGCGGAGCGGCGGGCGCCGGACCCCCAGGCGGAACTACAGGTCTCGGGCCCTCAGGCGGAGCGGCAGGCGCCGGACCCCCAGGCGGGGCGACAGGCCTCGGGCCCCCAGGCGGAGCGGCGGGCGCCGGACCCCCAGGCGGAACTACAGGTCTCGGGCCCTCAGGCGGAGCGGCGGGCGCCGGACCCCCAGGCGGGGTGACAGGCCTCGGGCCCCCAGACGGAGCGGCGGGCGCCGGACCCCCAGGCGGAACTACAGGTCTCGGGCCCTCAGGCGGAGCGGCGGGCGCCGGACCCCCAGAAGGAGCGACAGGTCTCGGGCCCTCAGGCGGAGCGACAGGCATCGGACCCCCAGGCGGGGCGACAGGCATCGGACCCCCAGGCGGGGCGACAGGCATCGGACCCCCAGGCGGGGCCGCGGCGCCGGACCCCCAGAAGGAGCGACAGGTCTCGGACCCCCAGGCGGGGCGGCGGGCGCCGGACCCCCAGAAGGAGCGACAGGTCTCGGGCCCTCAGGCGGAGCGACAGGCATCGGACCCCCAGGCGGGGCGACAGGCATCGGACCCCCAGGCGGGGCGACAGGCATCGGACCCCCAGGCGGGGCGACAGGCATCGGGCCCCCAGGCGGAGCGGCGGGCGCCGGACCCCCATGCGGAGCGGCGGGCGCCGGACCCCCATGCGGAGCGGCGGGCGCGCCGGACCCCCAGGCGGAGCTACAGGTCTCGGGCCCTCAGGCGGAGCGGCGGGCGCCGGACCCCCAGATGGAGCGACGGGTCTCGGGCCCTCAGGCGGAGCAACAGGTCTCGGACCCCCAGACGAAGCGGCGGGCACCGAGTCACCAGGCACGACAGTGGGCACCGAGTCGTCTGGCAAGACTGCGGGCATCGAGTCAACTGGCGGAACAGCGGGCATCGAGTCAACTGGCGGAACAGCGGGCACCGAGTCGTCTGGCAAGACTGCGGGCACCGAGTCGTCTGGCAAGACTGCGGGCATCGAGTCAACTGGCGGAACAGCGGGCACCGAGTCGTCTGGCAAGACTGCGGGCACCGAGTCGTCTGGCAAGACTGCGGGCACCGAGTCGTCTGGCAAGACTGTCACCGAGTCTGGCAAGACTGCGGGCACCGAGTCGTCTGGCAAGACTGCGGGCACCGAGTCAACTGGCGGAACAGCGGGCATCGAGTCAACTGGCGGAACAGCAGGCACCGAGTCGTCTGGCAAGACTGCGGGCACCGAGTCAACTGGCGGAACAGCGGGCATCGAGTCAACTGGCGGAACAGCAGGCACCGAGTCGTCTGGCAAGACTGCGGGCACCGAGTCGTCTGGCAAGACTGCGGGCACCGAGTCGTCTGGCAAGACTGCGGGCACCGAGTCGTCTGGCAAGACTGCGGGCACCGAGTCGTCTGGCAAGACTGCGGGCATCGAGTCAACTGGCAAGACTGCGGGCATCGAGTCAACTGGCGGAACAGCGGGCACTGAGTCGCCTGGCAAGACAGTGGGCTCCGAGTCAACAGGCACGACAGTGGGCACCGGGTCATCAGGTATCGGATTGTCTGGCTCGACAGCGGGCATCGGGTCACCAGGTATGACAGCGGGCACTGGGTCACCAGGCATCAGGTCATTTGGCTTGCCAGCGGGCACCGCGTCATCTGGCAAGGCAGTGGGCACCGGGTCACCAGGTATGACAGCGGGCTCTGAGTCAATTGGCACGACAGCGGGCACTGGATCAGGTACCGGATCATCTGGATCAACAGCGGGCATCGAGTCAACTGGCTAATAGGATCGTCGGGCTGGATCAGTTCATCATGCTGAGTAGCGGCATCAGGCTGAATGCAGGCATCAGGCTGAGGAGAGGCATCAGGCTGAGGAGAGGCATCAGGCTGAGGAGAGGCATCAGGCTGAGGAGAGGCATCAGGCTGAGGAGAGGCATCCGGCTGAGGAGAGGCATCCGGCTGAGGAGAGGCTTCAGGCTGAGTCACAGAAGGCAGGTTCACCGGTTTGGATACTGGCAGGATGGTATTGGTTGGAAAGAATTTTCGCTTTTTTCTGGTTTTAACTACTGGAGCACTGCAAGTAAACGCAGGTCTGCAAACGAATGGAGCAGCTGGAGACAGAGAAAAACTGGAGGATGGAACAGGAGAGGGAGCAGTTGCTACAGAGGGCTTTTGTACAGGGTTAAAGGCAGGATAGGTGCAGCGAGTGGGAACAGGGTACTGACATGCGGTAGATAGCCAAGTATACTGGGCTGTAAGTGGAGGAGCTGTTGGGAATACAGGAGAAGAGTTAGAAGCAGGACTGGGTTTTTGTAAGCTGACTGAGGCTGGGTGCAACAAGTCTGTCCATGTCTGCAGTAGGGGTTGAACAAAGCTGAGCTTACACAAAGTCTGTCTGGTCAATGACTGCACTGCGTTTATACAATCTCTTAGTGTCTGTGGTGAACATGTGGAATAACGCTCCAGAAAGTAACCCACATCATCCTCTAATAACCACACCAGGGACTCAACCTGGTCTGCACTAAATGGTGGCAAAAATTCATCCCTGCCTTCGGGGGAACCAGATGAAACCAACTCAACACAAACCTGAATCAATGGCTGCACCATAGAGAAATCTGTGCCCTGATCTACTAGAACATGAGCGAGCCATATACATTCTAGCAGTTCCTCCCGGGGATACTCCTTCAGAGTCTGATAAGCATACTCTCTGTCATCAAGCACTAGCAGAGATAAATACTCAACCTCATCCAGATCCATCCTTCCCATCAACAAGCCAAGATGGCTTCCCTGTGCAGCCACTTCTGGTCAGGATTGGCCTTGGTGTAATGTCAGGGCTCCCAGGTGTGACCAGAGATGTGTGACTGACGCAGGGAAACGCAGACCTCAGATATGTTATAAACAATATAATTTATTAACACTAACAATACAAACATAAACGCAGTGCAATACTAAAACATAATACAGTGCAAACAAACCAAACCAAACCACCCACAGATAACAGTACATACAAGCAAGCGTCGTCAGGCAGGCCGGGTCAATATCGATAGGGCAGTAGGTACAGGGGGAGCAAGCGGAGATTGGTCAGGGTCACAAGCCAGGGATCAGAACAGGTAGCAAGCAGCGTGGTACAGAGGGTCAGACAGAGGGATGGTCAGGAGCGAGCCGGGATCAGAGCAGGAGAAGTCAGCAGCGGTTCAGAAACAGGATGCAGGACAGAAACAGGATGCAGGGCCCAGGACAAACACACACCAAGGCAGAGTCTGTGGGTCTGGCCATCCCTTAAATACCCCAGCATAATCAGTTACAGGTGTTAGCTGGCTGCAAAGTTGAGTCTCTGATTGCTGGGAACACCCGCTGGCCAGCCCTGGTACTGCAGATCAAAAGGCAGGTGAGTCCCACCATAGCTGGCCAGTCCATTCCTGACAGAACCAGTCCATCCAGTTCAACCTATGTAGATGTGTGCATGAATGTGTTTATGTTACCACAATTTTTTATATCTCTGTATATTGTGTTTGCTAAAATGCAGATCTAAAAGTTTTTTGAAATTATCAAGATTCCCCACTGACACCACAGCTTTAACAGTGAAGAACAGTTTATGCACTTTAAGGTTAAACAGTCTCTCGTCCAACTTCGTTGAGTGGTCACGTGCCTTCTTAAGGGACCTGAGAGTGAATAGTTTTCTCCCTATGCTTGAATCACTATTTAGATATTTGTATATTGTGACCAATATTAAATTGCTTGCAATATCTGATAAATTTAAACATTTTTACAATATCTGATCTCTTATAATGTCTTCTGGTACAAAATGAAATCACTGGAGAAGGGTCCTTTCTGAACAGTCAGTATGTGACTATACTGCCCCTGATCTATCCATTCTTATATGTGCTCCTACTATGGAAGCTCTGGAAATTTAGAGTTAGGACCATAGTATATACAGAGGTCCCTTGGTACAGACACTGTAGCTTACGCATATATTTGCAAATGTGTGCAAACAAAACCCTCTGTTTTTAATGCAAACTGTTAGACAGGGTTAATTTGGATGTTTTGCCGCAGGCTGGTTGGTAAGTGTGCAGGGAAATCTTTTGTTTGTTTATGCTGTGCATTGCCCTTCCATGTGCACCTTGCTGCAAAAGCCAGGTATAGATTGGGGTGGTTGCCACTTTCTTGTAGAGTACAATTCTCTTAGTAGTAGTTGGTATGATAAAGAGTGTACAGCTCTGATTGTTTGTACGAGCAAGAATTCAAAGTCTGTATAAGGTCCAAGAAGTGTCTCTTGTGGACCTAGGCACTTGAAGCAATGTTGCAACTGGGAATATTCAATCAAAGCTTTAGAGGGGTTGTGACAAAAGGGTAAAATATATTCAAAAAGGGAGTACCTTGGCTTAATGTTTGACTAAGAAAGGTTCCCTCATCTCTAGTCCAAGAGAGATAACAGAACTGGTAGAGAGTTGGAGGGAACGTATTGTCCCCAAACAATGGAATCAAGGGGCTGAGTCTTGTAGAGAACAAACCCTTACAGATGTATGTGTCCCATACATGTAAGGTGACAGACACCAGAAGGGGTAAGGAGTCTATGGAAGGTATATGTATAGGTGGTGTCCACGCAGAGATGTGATATTTGGAATAATAAGATCATTCTCTAAGGTTGTCCAGAGTTTGGTAGACCTGCCAAGAAACCAATCCAGGATTTTAAATAGATAGTAAAGGCAATTGCAAAAAAAAAAAAAAACAAACATACTTACCTGCTTTGTGCAATAGTTTTCAGGATCACTTGTGACAACCTAGCAGAGCAGGACTGGTGCAATAGGTCGATGGTGCTGTGTCTTCTGTGGTAACCTGAAAGCAGTAGAGCAGGACTGGTACATTAAGTCTATAGCGCTGTGTCTCCTGTGGCAATTTGAAGGTAGCACAGCGGGACCTGTACAGTAGGTCAATGGCTCTGTGTCTTTCATGGTACCCTAAAGGCAGTAGAGTGGTACCATCACAGATGGCTGATGGTGCAGTTTCAGCCCAGGATTCTGTTTAACACAGCTCCTTACTGAGAACCCTGCCTGGCAAAATGTCCCCTCTATTTCCCGGGCTTTTCTTTTTATATACCACATCTGTTACTGCATTAGTGGACCAGGGCCAACTCTGTATAAATCAGTGACAGTGTGCATGTTACACAAGTCCAGTCTTGTCTAGTAAGGTCAGGTAGTGAGAGGGTCAAATATACTCCAAATATTAAATACATTAAACCTTGTGAGCTGTTATAAATTAAAATTGTGCATACGTGAATTGTTCACACTATTCACACTCTGATATACTGCAATATACATCTAAGCAAGTGCAGCACTTCACTTCAGAGATAGAACTATACATATAAGTGAAATAAATATTACAAAGCATTAGTCTCAATAATTATATTATCACCAAAACACTACGTTTAGCTGAATAGTGATTCAGTCCAAAAAACAGTCCCAGTACAAAGCTTATGCACTCCACTGAATGTGACTTCAATATAATTTCTCAATTATTTTCATCACCACATGTGGCAAAATAAATATATATCTATCTTTCCAAGAATATGATTCATGTGCCACAGAAAAATGCATTTATCAAATGGTGTTACAGGAGGAGTTTTTTGAGTCTAGAAATCTGTGATTGGGAAATGGAGCTTCTTCCAAAAGAGGACTCCATCATGGGATTGAGGACACAGTTGAAATTCCCAGTCAATCATTCCCCTGCAAACCCCATAAGTTCACAAATGTATTTAATACTCATGTCAATTTGGTCCCATTTAGTTATAGAGTACAAAGCAATAACAAGTGCAGTCGAGATACACTCGCTGTATTCCAAAATTGTATATGTGACACATATCCAAAAGATCAATGCCTTTATATTTTATAAGGACAGGTTTTGTATGTGTTGCCCAATGGAATGCACTCCCATTTTTCCCTCAGTGTTCTTTGTTTTTAGATTTTGATTCCACCCATCATGCAGTATGGTGCACAGTTTAGTAAAGTTGTTTTTTTGCAATGTAGTGTACTTTTGCTACCCTCATGTCTCTTTTTCCTATGATTTATGTTGAACATAATTACTCAGTGATCACTGTTTCTTTAGCTATCCCTCACTTTCACATCTGCATTCAGCTCTTTGTTGTTTGTAATTAGTAGGTCTAGTCTAGCAGAGCATTATCCACCAATTAACACATGAAATTGTCCTGCAAGAAGAAATGAGGAGCCTTGAATGAGAAGTTCCTTCTGCCCAGTCAATATACAGATAATTGAAGTCCTCCATGATAATAGCATTGCCTTGCCTCACCACCATTTCTAGCTCTGAAAGGAGATCAGTCTCTTCTTCATCATTCAGGTTAGGGGGGCTATAGCATGCCCCCATTATTAATTTCCTGTTTGTTTCTTCTCTCTAAAGCTTCAGCCACAAGGATTCCACCTCCTCCCTTGCCCCATTAGCAATGTTATCCCTTGTATTCACTAGTAAATTATTTATGACATACAGGTACACACTTCCTCCTCTTCTGCCTTCTCTGACCCTTCGATACAGAGAGAAACCCTGGACAGTCACAAGCCAGTCATGTGAGCTGTCAAACCAGGCTTCTAACAACAAAGAAGCCTCTCCAGCACCCTCTCCTGCCCTCTGGCTGGCTGTAACACTAAAAAGAAATGCTGCTGTCAAAGTAACCAGTGGAGCCTGCTAAAGAACAAAAAAGGGTAAATACCCACTGTAAAAATGAATAAATAATTTTCCTCTCTCTATCCCCACTAACTGTAATTTCTGCATCCCCCCCCCTTTTTTTCCTCCTCTTTGCAGAGGGTTTATACTGTTTGTCATAAATATTCTGAAAAAACTTGGAGGGTTTCACCAGAGGCCTACTGCTGTACATCTTATTTTACCATGTAAGATCTGTACACGTGAGCACTTGATGCATAAGATATACAGTAAGCCTGTATTCTTATTGTATAATATTTCATCTATGATGTGCCAGTTGATGACTTGTTTTTGTATCCTTTTTGGTTGTTCGTTGTAATGGTGAACCT